AGGCATGCCTGAGATTCTATTTTGAAATTCTTGAGAGTTATCCAGAATCAGTTTTCACTAAACAACTGCATACTTTAAAAAATTCATTAGAGTACAGAATTGTTACATAAAAAAATATATGTATTGTTATCATCAAAACTAGAGATTATATGCATAACCAAAATCTTGTTTTAACAACTTTTTCTTTACTGATTTTAAATGAATGAATACAAAGCCTGTTTTAGGTAGAGACGATTGACCAGAGACTTGGTCATGTACAAATCTTCAAATTTTATCCACTCACCTACTTCGGTTTTCTCCTTCGAAACCCGTTAGAGAATTTTATCACCAAGACTCACTGTGATGTCACTGTGGGTTTTCTATATCATCATCGTCTTCTCCCTCTTTGTTAGGGTAGCACCCATGATTTTAGATCCTTTCAGCGCTTCTAGCAGACCATGCTGAATAAGAAGGACTCACATCTTCAAGTACTATAATCAGAAATCATTTACTCCAGTGAATTTCTCAATCTCATACTTCATTGATGGCATCTTCTCCACGTTCACCGCATCAATTTGTTGTGATAATCGATGTCAAGAACAAAGTAAAACTAAGAGAAAGAGAGAGTTTCTTGATCAAACAAGAAACCTTTCAATTCAAGAAGAGAGAGAGAGAGAGAGAGAGAGAGAGAGAGAGAGAGAGAGAGAGAGAGAGAGAGAGAGAGAGAGAGAGAGAGAGAGAGAGAGAGAGAGAGAGAGATGTGTTTATTATGACGATTATTGCATTCACTTTCTCAATGAACGTTAATTTATCACAAGTGAAAAACAACAACCAACCTCTCTTCTAACAAGTGAGAGAGCAACCTATTTATATACTATTAGCGTATGTATGTTATGTATGAAGATAACACTTATACATGTTATACATAACTACTACATAACATAATACATAGTTATCTTCGATTACAATATGTTTGAACAAACTTCGACTACAACATGCACATTTAACTCTATCAAATTCTAAAACTACACCTATCAAAACTAAAGTTCGATCCAATACTATATGATAAAATTCAAATGCAACATATATCATTTACAAAGAGAATCAGTATAAATAGGACGAATTTATATTGGTATGTAAAGTTGTACCATAAGCCAAGATATTTGGCATAACTTCCAATTTATTCCATTGCATTACCGCCACCACTACCCCATGATAAGTAGTAGAAAATGTACTTGGCTGAATCCTTAACAAAGATCTTTTTCTTAAAAAAAAAACTCGATCAAACCTTTGGTAAAATTTGGTGTTTAGTGAACTAACCGTGTATTTAGCTAATTTGTCCTTTACTTGAATGATTCTCCGTCTGCTTAGTATGACTTTATATAAGCTAATTTGTGACGTTGATCGATTATGCTGAAAAAAAGACTATAGCGTTTAGCATTGAAGATTGAACTACTAGATAGGATTGCAACTTGTCACATTTCCCTCAATGAGGCTAACACAATTAACGCAAGTTTTCATTCCCTTTAATCCTTTGTTTTAGTTTATCTAAAAGTAAACATCACCATCTTCTTTATACAAAAGCCAAACCCACAGACACCCACAAAAGTAGAGACAATACCACTTTTTCTTTCTCTCCCCTCTCACATTAAAATCTGTCTTTCTATGTCATTATTATTTTTATCAAGTTTGTTTTTATATCTCAGAACTCACTCATCTTTTGAAATTTCTTTCTTAAAGGCAGTGAAGCACTTGTCTTTCACATATGTTTTATCAAATCGCAGAAAGCAAAACACTAGCACAATCTCTTGTGTTGTTGAAAAAGATGCCAATTAACTGCTTTTGCATGTGTAGTAGTAGTAATATAGAAAACATTTTGGCGGCTATATAGATAGATATAGGTGCAGTTTTGTTGAATCTTTGAGCCCTTAATTTGTTACAGTATTGTCCATTTACATGCATGGATCAGAGTGTAGAAGGTGGTTCAGTTAATACTTGAAGTTCACATAGTTGGAGCTCTCTGAGTTGCAGTTTCAGACATTAAAATAAACAAATAAAGATGGCGTAAAGCACAAGGTATGCATGTACACGTTTTCTATACCTGCCTCATTCTCTGCTCTACTAAAAAACTCTACACAAGCCGTAATTAGTAGCACATTTTTACTTCCATTGCGTGCATTTTTATCTCTCCTTCAAACTCAATTTTTTTTTACTGGAACTTTCTTACCTTTAAACTTAAATTAATTACTTGTGCATCTTTTGGTCCATTTGTCAAATCATCTATAAACTCATTTTGTTTGGAAATACATAGGTAAACCTCTTAGTCTAATTTAAGGACAATATTTTGTGAGATTTGCATGTAGGCAATAAAATAAGGATAACTTGGGACCCATATTTGCTGCTGTCGAAAAAACCAAAAAAAACTGGCTGTTTAATTACTTTTTTTTTTCAAAAAAATCAAATTCAAAATTACAGTTTTGTTATTTTTATTTAATTTTATATGTTAATTGTTAAATTTTCTAAATTGATATTATTTTAGATCAATTAAATTTAAAATAGGTTAATATTAAATTATTTTTTGAATTAAATATACAACACTTCTATAATATATGTGAGTTTTGATTTACTCCATATAAAAAAAATTGAATCTCTCTTAAAAATATTAAAAATTTTATGTTTTTTGTTTCCTAAGTGTCAAAATTATCCTGATAATATATTTTTTTTGTTTACTCTATATTCTCTTATTTTTTGTTCACCTCATATTCAGTATTTAAATTGCGCGCTTAGGAAAAATTCAGAAAAATATATTAGGGGATAAAACGAAATTTGACTAAGGGAGCTCTTTGACTACATAAATGTGGAAAAAAAACCCATGGCATGAGATTCAATTTCAATAACTTGTCTAAGGATGGTAATGACACATTAGTCATTCACCAGCCCCCTAAAAACATTTTATTTGGAGAACTTAAAAAAAATGAAGTAATTACATTAAAGAAAAGTTAGAAACATGATTAATACGAGGAGTTCAATTATACGCATAATAATAATCAAATTGGCTTAATCAAAATCTTATAACTTTTTAAGACTTTTGAATGAAAAAAAATGTGAGTAAAAGGAAAGACAAAACGTATTTGAGTGTGCAAGCTGAAATTATACTCAAGAATAACAATTTATTTCAGTTATTCCATTATTATAAAATATTTTATAAAATATTTTTCATTGATAAACCATAATTATATAGGACTTATTTGCAATTTTCAAAATTTTGAAGAAATTAACTTGTAAAATTTGAAAATTATTAAGGATTTATTTACAACTTTTTAAAAATATTATAAATTAATTTAAAATTTTCATAAAATATGAGAACCATCTTACAAAATTTTAAAAATTAATAATAAGCAATTTAACATTCACATATAGAGTAAAAGAGTAATTTCAAATTTTTTATTTTGTAGTGTTATTTGAAATTCTTTATATTTAACTTAAAAAAATATTTCACAAATTTACATCACTTCAATAATTTTCTATACTTTTTTATCTAAACAATAAATTTTGGTCAAATTTTAAATTTTTTTAAAAAAATATTTTTTCTCCTTAAAATGTTTCATCCTTAAAATGTTTCATCCAAACACATTATAAGAGTTGATTCATTATTTGCAAGAGTTTATGTTTAATTGAAATTATAATATCCGGCATTGCGCTAGAGGCAAGTAAAACTCTGTATAGTTCTATAGACCGACCAAAAACATTGAGAAGAATATATAGTCTTTGGGTTAAGAGTTTATGTTTAAGTACCACTATTAATGAAAAAAATCTGTGAATGAATAATCTGAAAACACATGTGTTATCGGAGTGCACTCAAAGTGCTGTGGTTTTGATAAAACTAAGATCTGATTCACATAAACTTTATGTGAAAAAAATGTTAAATCATATTTTAAAAAATGATAAAGAGCGTGTGAAAAAGTGGGGTTGGCTAGGGACAAGTTTGCACTAAGGGTTAAAATCCAGTGGATATGCCTCCAACTTTACCTCTTAATTGAACTTTTCAACAAAACATCTATAGGATTTGTTGTGGGGGAGGGAGGGGGTCCCTAGACTGTGAATTTCTTTTTCACACTATCCTAAGAAACACAGAAATTTGGCTGCACTGCACCATCAATATACAACTTAATCACTCTTAATCAATCCAATCAAATAACAATCTTATTATTTTCATTTTACCAATACATTTAACTTTAGCTACAACTAACTTTTAATCAAAATCAATTTTCTTCGTCGCAGAACAGAACTAAACTTAACGCACACTTAATTTGATGTGTGACACACTATACTACGAGCCTCTGATTTATTCACATGGGTGTTGTATTGTATGAAGCAAGTGAAAGCGACATAACATAACACATGATTGTTCTTATTGTGTTTTGTAACTATCCCATATAACTGATGAACCTTACCTTCACTTGTATTGCATGTATCATTTTCATCTTTATATCCCAGTTCCCCAATATCCCCTCCAAAATCCAACTAGACATCAGTACCACTGACATTACCATTTGTCCAATTGTTTTATGCATTGTACTCTACACACAAACAAACTTCAAATTATCGCCGAGATCGTTGCAGATATGAACCGTCCGATCTTGATCAAACGTCACGTTATGACTATTCGTTTTTAAGGTAAAGTGGTATTGATGAGGTGAAAGTTTTTATTTATTATGGCCATAAAAATGAAAGTGGTAAGTCAAAATAAGACATCATATCATATCATAAATATACTGACACTTTATTATAATGTCAATGCTCATTAATTAATATAAGAGTTTTTATAGAATATTGTTAGTTTCTTGTTATTTGCATGTCACTTTTTTTTCTCAATCTCAGAAGATTCAGAGAATAAACAGCACCTAGTTGATGCCATGTACCTTTATTTTCTTTCTTTATTTTCAAGAATCAACCATTGCATGAAACTAACAAGTGAAAGTTTCTTGTTTATTTTCTACAGAGATATCTAGCCATTACAAATGAAGGAAGAAGATAAAGTTCAAGAAACTGGACTTGAATCTCAACTAGCTTCATGTTTTTCTTCCTCTTGCAAAACTCTTGTTTTCCCTTCTAGGCCTGGCTATGGAAAACTTGGGACAAAGTGTGTTGTCAAAGCTAATCACTTTCTTGCAGATATATCAGTATCTGACTTGAGCCAATATACTGTAAGTCATTTAGAAACAACAAAATTGCGGCGAAATGCAGCCGCAATTGAGGTTGCGGAGGCCTCTAGAATTGTTATATTGCGACCGCAATTGAAGATTTTGCTAAGTTGTCATGTGTGTTTTATGAAGGTTGTTATAACTCCTGAAGTTAACTCTAGAAAAACAAGAAAAACTATCATAGGAGAGTTAGTGAAGCTTCATCGAAACACCGAGTTGGAAAAGAGACTCCCGGCTTATGATGGTTCGAAGAATCTTTACACTTCCGGTCAGCTTCCGTTTACACAGAAAGTGTTCAGTATAGTATTGAGTGAGGAAGATGAGGCAACTTGTAGTACAAGGTAATTGATTATTATTCAAGAAAAACAAAGTAAATCTTTTTCTTTCAAATTTTGGATTTTGAAACAAATGAGTTGTGAATTTTGTGTTCAGGGAAAGAGAATTTGAGGTTCAAATCAAGTTTGCAGCTCATGTTAGCATGCATCAGTTACATGAGCTTCTCAGTGGGAAAAAAGTTGATACTCCACATGAAGCTCTTAATATCATTGACATTGTATTGAAGGAGTTTGTATCTCATAGGTGCATTTTTCATTTGTTCTTTCAAGCTTTAACATATACTACTATCATTCAATTATTGTTTCTTACACGTTAATTCGCATGTTTAGCTATGTATCGTTTGGGAGGTTATCCTATTCTCCAGATTTAAGAAAATCACATCCGCTGAGTGGTGGATTGGAATCATGGCGCGGTTTCTATCAAAGTATAAAGGCTACTCAGATGGGATTATCACTTAATGTTGGTGAGAGTTCTAGTCAATCTTCAAACTCAGATTCTTCCGAACAATTTGGCCTAAACTGAAGCTGCATTTCGTTGTTTTTCTTCTGATTTATTTTTTCTGACAGACATGTCATACACGGCGTTTATTGAACCAGTCCTTGTGATTGACTTTATAGCTCAAATATTAGGAAAAGATGTGCACTTAAGGCCATTGTCGGACGCAGATCGCATCAAGGTAAGAAATTTATTTTACTATAGCAACTTAAATGTTAAGCACTATTTTCTGACGAAAAAATGTTTATGGTATGACTCGAGCAGATTAAGAAAGCCTTAAGAGGTGTGAAAGTAGAAATTACATATAGAGGAAGTGTGAGAAGGAAGTACAAGATAACAGGATTGACATCACAACCTACAAGGGAACTCATGTATGGTTTTGTAGTTTTTTTTCTATGCAAAAAGTTTCGAAATTATCGTATTTGACACTAGCGGTAATGGTTTCTTTCTTATCTTTTCGTCCTGATAGTTTCCCTTTGGATAAGGAAATGAAAATGCAATCAGTAATTGATTACTTTCAAGAAAAGTATGAATATACAATCATGTATCCTCATTTACCTTGCCTTCAAGTAGGAAGTCAAGAGAAGTTGAACTATTTGCCTATGGAGGTATAAGCTTTTGTTTTTGTTTGAATTTATTCAAACTTTTTATTTTACTTTTAGATTCATTAAAAGGTTATGTGAATCTTGTACTAGGCATGCAAGATAGTTGGAGGTCAGAGATATTCAAAAGGGCTTAATGAGAAGCAAATAACTTCTCTGCTAAAGGTCTCGTGCCAGAGACCACGCGGAAGGGAGGATGATATTCTACAGGTTATTGTCATTCTTTTTGTTTTGAGTCTATGAAGCACAAATGTTAGACATGACACTAACCAATTATAATGTATTGGCGTTGTACACTGACACATGTCAGACACTAGACACGCCTACAATTTAAAGTGTCGTTATTGCATAGGTTTGAGTCAATTGTGAACTGAATGAATAGCTCATGTATTGGTGTTGATCTTGTTTTTAACTTACAGACAATTCACCAAAATGATTATAATTGTAATTCTTATGCAAAGGAGTTTGGTATCAGCGTAGACAACAAGCTTGCATCAGTCGAGGCTCGGGTTCTTCCTGCTCCTTGGGTGATTTTTCCTATTGTTGAATTCATCATTTTTGTTGTTGTCTTTTGGCATTCAAATTATAATAGTAGATTTTGGATTTTTCTTCATAGCTGAAATATCATGACACTGGAAGAGAAAACAAAGTCCTGCCACAAATCGGTCAGTGGAACATGATGAACAAGGTTAGCTTTAGACACACACACAGATTATAGTTTGTTTTAACAGTGGATTTTCATTCTTATTATTTCAATGCAGAAAGTTATAAATGGAGGAAAAGTAACAAATTGGGCTTGTATCAATTTCTCAAGAAATGTCCAAGAAAAATTAGCTAGTGCATTTTGCCAAAACTTAGTTCAGGCATGCCAAATGTCAGGCATGGTAAAAGTCTTAAATTTTGGTTTATATCACTTTTCCGATTATAATTACACCCTGTTATTCAGTATTTTCGTCATGCACAATTGTAGTATACATGTTTTTTTTATCGTTTTACAGGAATTTAGTCCGGAACCTGTGATTCCTGTATATTCAGCAAGACCAGATATGGTTAAGAAAGCCTTGGAGCATGTACATTTTGTTTCTCTAAACAAACTTGGTGGGAAAGAGCTCGAGTTGCTCATTGCTATTCTTCCAGACAAAAATGGCTCTCTCTATGGTACGACTCTCAAAAGATTCGAAGAGATTCATCGGGAGAAGAAAATGGAAATTTAATCTCCGTTTTTATTTTCTTCTCCCGGCGAATCTGCTTTTTATGATGATTACAAGATAACATGTGGTGAACAATTGTTTTTCACATTTTTTGCTTGCACCTGAAGGAACCATTCTTGCTTCAGGTGATCTTAAAAAAATCTGCGAAACAGATCTCGGGCTGATTTCCCAATGTTGTCTTACAAAATACGTATTCAAGATTGGTAGACAGTATTTGTCAAATATAGCACTAAAGATCAATGTCAAGGTTTGTATTACGAAATTTAAATGATCTATCATACTAGTTTCTTTCTACTTAAGAATAATCACTCATATGTTTCCATTTTTTCACTTAATCTTCATTTTCTTAAATAAATGCAATGTATACTTTAGATGGGAGGAAGGAACGTAGTACTCATGGATGCGATGAGTTCCAAGATTCCATTGGTTAGCGACATTCCAACGATAATTTTTGGCGCTGATGTAGCTCATCCTGACTCCGGAGAGGACGTTTGTCCATCTATTGCAGCCGTAAGCATTTCCAAACTCCTATAACACATTGCGGTACTGCGTCCTAAGTTTGACCTATTTTGATTATTGTTATTCAGGTTGTAGCCTCTCAAGACTGGCCGGAAATAAGCAAGTATGCAGGATTGGTATGTGCTCAGACTCCTCGCGAGGAGCTTATTAAAGATCTTTTCAAATGTTGGAACGATCCACAGCATGGTATCGTTTATGGCGGCATGATCAGGTAATTTAGTAACACTTTTTCTAAAATTGAAATTTTGCGCGCTTATTTAGATCCTAACATTCTGTGCTGCTGCAGAGAGCTCTTGCTCTCATTTCAGAAGGCAACTGGAAAAAAACCACATAGGATAATATTTTATAGGGATGGGGTAGCTGATGGACAGTTCTACCAGGTTTTGCTATACGAGCTCGACGCAATCCGCAAGGTACTCACTACTGAAAGTGAGTCATAATATCTCAAAACATTTATATTTAAGACATTCCTCAGTGCGTGAATTTTCAATATGCGTAGGCTTGTGCGTCTTTGGAACCTGGTTACCAACCCCCAGTAACATTTGTGGTGGTTCAAAAACGGCATCACACTAGACTCTTCCCGAACAATCACAACGACAGAAACAGCGCGGATAGAAGTGGGAATATCTTGCCAGGTAAAAAGCCTAAAAATATAATTGCAGAATATTTGGAAAGCTCAGAATTGTGATTATTAATACATGAGTTGAAACATTTCTAACCGGTTAATGTAGGTACCGTGGTGGATTCAAAGATATGTCATCCTACAGATTTCGACTTCTACTTGTGCAGTCATGCAGGAATTCAGGTATCACAATGTCATCCACGTCGTTACGTTATGAAGAACATGATAGTGTTGGATTAGATTAACTAACATTAACCGATTTTTCAGGGTACAAGTAGAGCAGCTCATTATCATGTTATATGGGACGATAACAACTTCAGTGCCGACGAGATTCAGTCTTTAACGAACAACTTGTGCTACACGTATGTAAATAAACTCTTATCATCTTAAAATATATTTCTCTATTCTTAAGATGAAATAACCTCGTCATATTTTATGACAGTTACGCGAGATGTACGCGATCTGTTTCTGTAGGTAAGTCTTTGTTTCATGTTTAAAGACAAGTACATGAAAATGTCTACATTTAATTGTCTGATATATATGTGCAGTGCCTCCTGTGTATTATGCTCATCTGGCAGCTTACAGAGCTAGATTCTACATGGAACCTGATGTGCATGAAATTGAAAAATCACACGCTACGAGATCGAATATCGAGTCGGTTCGGCCACTGCCAGCTCTGAAAGAGAAGGTCAAGAATGTAATGTTTTACTGCTGAATGAGGAGTGCAGTATGAACAAGATTTAACCCAACATGTATAATACTATGAGAACCTAGTTTTGGTTTCTTTGGATTTCTAGTTTTGGCTGCTTAAGAAGAGTTAATTATAACTCTGTGGTACATTTAATTAATGAAAATAAAAAGTTATCATATTTATTTTAAACCTTTTTTATAATAAAAAAATTATACACATACTTTAATTTTTAGAGAATGCTCTTATTTAATTAAATTATACTCCCTTTGTTTTTTTTTCTAAGTCGTTTTAGATTTTTTTACAGATACCAAGAAAGTTATTAACTTTTGCTAATTTTGTAAATATATTATAGGATATTCCAATATTATTCTTTTTAAAAACACTCAAAATCTCTTGTTTTAAAATATACTAGATAAATCATTATGATTTGTCGATGGAATATCTAGATTGCATTTATTCCAATATATTTTATGAATAAAACATTAAATTAATTAAATTTATACGGGTTTTTTTCTATCCTACACTAATTCCTTATTTTTCTTCCTCCCAAATTTTCTATCACTCACCAAAAGATAGGCTAAAGCACTCTGGAAGAAAAAATTAAGATTTTTTTTGTTAAATTTTTCCCTCCAAATTCTTATGGCTCTTAATTAATTTTTTTTTTTCAAATTTCCCTCTAAATATTTCATTGTACTTCTTTTTTGTATTATCAATTTTCTATAAATTTAGACTAACTCACCCTGTATTATGATATTAAAATGGCTTTAAATCACATTGATCTCAATATTATTCCAATGGAAGAGGGATTAAAAAATGCACAATATATAAAACTTGAGAATTCACATTGAGGAGAGATATTTCTGAGTTTTAATTGGGAGTTAATATATTCTTAAGAGAGAGGAATTTTGAAAAAATCACAAATTAATATAGAGTTTTACGAGAGGAAGACTTTTTCTATAAAAAGTTGGACTAATGCATTGAAAAACGATATTCATAATGTCACTCCGTATTAGAATACAAGATTCACTGAATTATGAAAATTATAGAAAAAAAGAGATGAATTAGAGGTATTTTAGGAAGAAAAAAATTAATTCTACATAGAAATTACAAAACGACTTATATTTTGACACAATTTTTTTTCTAAAACGACATATAATTAAAAACGGAGGGAGTAGTGTTCTGGTTTATATTTTTAAAATTAACATTGTTGATATTTGTGTGTTGGAGCCGGTGATTTTTATGCCGGTGTTGCTTTTTAGACGCAATGAAACCATTTCTCATTATTTATTTAAAAATAATTTAAACATTGGCACACATTCTAATAAAATACACAGACAATTCCATGTGTGTGAGCTCAAAATACTTAAAAAATGTTTTTATATTAAACCACCATGAGTCCGTGATTAGTGGGCACCCAAAAATGCTGAATAACATGTAAATGTTATAATAATATTATTATTAAAATAATATTATTATTTAGAAATATTTATCTAAATAGTAATTTATTATAGATATAACTTGTCAAAGTTTAAATAGTCTAATTATTACATTAGTGTAATAGTTGCATTTCTAGTAGAATAAATACTACTTTTGGCTAATATAAAAAATACATACACAAAATTTACTTTAAAAGCACAAGTAAAACATTCTCCTTTCTTCAATCTTTTATTCAAGTTTGATAGTTAAACTAGTTTAGTAACTTATATTAGTTCAAAAATATTAACAAATATTCAAAGTCGATCTTTTTCAACACGTTATCAGCACGATCGTTTATATCAGAAGTTATTACTATACTAGGTATATCTTCTAAACTTATCACTTTAATCTCATTATTGCTATAATTTTTATTTATCATGGTTATAGAAAACTGTCAATTAGTCAAGTGATTTATAACTAGAATGACTTTTATTGTTATTTTTACTTTACCCCTTATTATAGAAAACTGACAATTTGTCAAGTGCTCTATAATAAGTGTGATTTTTATATATTTTGTGTGGAGGTTTAAAGCCCTATATGCAGTTACTAACTTTTATATTTTGTTACTAACTTTTATATTCAGTCACTAACTTTTATATTTAATGAATGTTTAATGTCCCATATGCAGTTACTAACTTTTATATTCAGTTCCTAACTTTTATATTATGTTACTAACTTTTATATTCAGTCAATAACTTTTATATTTTTAGTGGAGGTTTAAAGCCTCGTATGTTATCTTATAATTATCTCTAAACTCTTATAATAGTGAATTGATATTTAACACACTTTAAATTTGATTTATGACTTTTTTTTTCTTTCTCTTTTTGCTTTTTTTTTTTCTTTTTTTTTTCTTTTCCCTAACGGTGACTATAAGGGCCGTTTTAAAAATTTATCTATATATAATTCAACTTCTTTCACAAATTTCATATCATTCTCAAAAATGTATCTATATTTTTCAAATGGCTAAATGTTTTCTTTTGTTCATCACTATACTTGTCATTGTTTTATTCCTCATCGGTATTATCAAGCATGAAGAACTAGGTAAAGATTATGTAGGGCTAATGATATTGATTGTTTTACCATTACTAGTCTTAGCTTGGTTTATTAATAAAGGTTTTTGAATAAAGCATGATCATGGTTTTTGTAATCGTTGTTATTAAATAAATTGACATATATTATTTTTGTTTATGTATTAAATTTTGATTATGATCTTTTGAATTTTAAGCATAACTGGTGACAGCTACATAACATGGAATAACAACTTAATAGAGTATCTTGCTTGTGAGGGACTTGATAAAATTCTTGAAGGAGAAATTTCTGGAAAGTCAGTTGTTGACCTAGAAGAGATGGCAACGAAAAAATCAAAAGTAAATCAAATAATCAAACACTACCTTGACGATGGTTTACAAACAGAATATTCAAATGCAAAAGATCCCAAGATTTTGTGGGACAAACTTAAGGCAAGATTTGGAAATCAGAGGAAAGTCTTGTTGCCCTCATTAATGGATCAGTGGAACAAATTAAGGTTCCAAGATTATAAAAGCGTTGTTGCATATAACTCTGTCATGCACCAAATTATAGCACAATTAGAACTTTGTGGCATAGTTATAACTGAAGAAGAAAAATTGGAAGAAAAAAATTTCAACTTTTCATGCATCCCAAGTTTTGTTGCAACAACAATACAGAATGAGGGAATTTTCTGAGTATTTTGATTTAGTTGCAGCCCTTCTAGTAGCAGAACAACATAATGAGCTCCTTATCAAAAACCACCAGTCACGTCCCACAGAAACAATAGCATATCCTGAGATAAATGCCACAATATTTAATCAAAGGCGCGGTGGCTACAATCGTAATAAAAAATGTGGAGGTTATGCTTGTTTTGAGGGTCCTAGTCGAGGTAGATATCATGGTCGAAACCACTTTCGTGGTCGAGGTCATGGACGAAGTTACGTGAATAATTATAGATTTCCCATATATGACCAAACTAATAGGTATCGTTAAGGTATGGGTACTTACATCCAAGAGAATCCCTCGAGGAATCATGACAATTAGTACTATAGATCGCGAAAAGAAAGATCATTGGTCTAAGACATGTAGAACACCGGAGCATGTGTGTAAAAGAAACAAGGCATCTATAGAGGGAAAAAGGAAGGAAGTAAATTTTAATGAAATTGAACTCGAAAATGATACTACATCTCTTAAGGTTACTGATTTTGTTGAAGAAATAATGGATTAAAAAACTTTATGAATAATGTGTGATATGCTTTTATGTTTGAACTATGTATAAACTTAAGTATTTGTATGTTGCTTGGTGTATCCACTGTTTGAAATATAATGTTAAATATGTTGTGTTGATTTACTCTCTAATTTAATATTGTTTCTATTTCAAGAAGGTTAGACATGGAACATGTTGAAGACATTTGCATTTCAAACAGTGGAACTACCCACACAATCCTCAAATGTAAGAAATATTTCACTGAAATAAGTCCTACTAAAGATATAATAAATACAATATCAAGTCCTGCAAATTTGATTGAAGGAATAGGTAATGTTATGTTCATATTACCAAATGGAACAAAGTTTGTCATTAATAATGCTTTATACTCTATAAAATCAAAGAGAAATTTGTTGAGTTTTAATGACATATATCGTCAAGGATATGATACTGAAACTGCAATTGAATGTAATATGAAATATATTAACATTATTACTAATGTTTTAGGAAAGAAGAAAACTTAAAAAAAAAACTACCAAAATTGCCTTCTGGATTACATTATACTTATATACATGCAATTGAATGTAATTTATTAGTAAAAGAAGATCCTAAAACGATGACTTTATGGAATGATCGTTTAGGCCACCCTGGTTCAACAATGATGCGTAAAATAGTTGAAAGTAGTCATGGTCATCCATTGAAAGGTCTAAAACTTACAAAAGGAGATAAATCATATGAAGCATGCTCTCTTGGCGAGCTAATAGCAAAGCATTCGTCAAGTAAGATTCGGACAGAATCACCTGTATTTCTTGAAAGAATTCAAGGTATATTTGGACCTATCCATTCACCGTCAGGACCAATCAGGTACTTTATGGTATTAATTGATGCATCTAGTAGATGGTTATATGTATGTTTACTGTCAAGTTACGATATGGCATTTGCAAAATTTCTTGCGCAAATAATTAAACTAAGTGCTCAATTTCCTGATTACACTATAAAGAAAATTAGACTTGACAATTCTGTTGAATTTACATCTGAATCATTTAATAATTATTGCATGTCAATTGAAATTACTGTTGAACATCTTGTTCCTCATGTGCATACACAAAATGGTTTAGTCGAGTCTTTAATAAAATGTCTTCAATAAATTGCTAGACCATTAATTATGAAAACTAACCTACCAGTTATAGTTTAAGGTCTTGCAATTTTACATGCTATAACACTCATCCGTCTAAATCCAGGTGCTAATCATAAACATACACCTTATCAACTTGCAATTGGTAAAGAACCAAATATTTCTCATTTAAAAATATTTGGTTGTGCAGTATATGTC